TCTTAATTAAGAAAAGCTATAAGGTCTATGGTGGACGCTTTCACGCGTTGAGTCGTTCGGCTCCTCCTTCCCTATAACTCTACCGCGCGTACACACGAGCGCCTATATCTATCCGGGGATTAACACGTTCCAGTGATTTAAGTGGAGTCTTCTTTACATATTGTAAGGCCGAATCAGCATAAATCTCGGTCTTGGCAATCTATGCCTCGCACGCCGCTCGTTGTTAGTCGCTCATCGCTCATTGTTCGTCATTTTGGATAAAAGACAAGCCGTACGTTTTTTCCTGAATATTCATAAAGCCCAAGTAATAATCCTTCGCAAAATTATACTCGTTTCCTTATTGTATTTACCGTGTCTTACATTGTTTTTAACTTACGCAGTGATCCATCATGTCTTTAATCCTGTATTCTGGCTTATAATTATTACCTCAATTTATATTTATAAAGATCTTGACATTGTCAAAGGCAATTCGTGCGTGCGCAAGAGCAGAGCAACGACAATATTTTTACGTTGATTGATTATTCAAGAATTTCTGAATTTAAATTATTTGTCAAGCGTCCTGACGAAGTTTAATCATTTAATAAATATTAATTAGTTATTTTTATTTCTTTTAAAGAATTCTGATAATGCGTTAGTATAGAACGGAATAAATGGAAAAAGAAATGTGTTCGCTTGTTGATTTGCGTTTTGAATACACAGACCGGACATCCGAGGGAGCCGCGACGAAATTTAGGACTAGTTATTCTAGTATATATATATATATATATATATATATATATGTGTGTGTGTGTGTGTGTGTGTGTATGTATGTATATATCTGTATATATCTATACACACACACACACACACACACACATTAAATTCTTTAGTTTAAAAAATTCTCTATTAAAACTGAACTGTCGCAATTGGTTTACCGATGTAACGATTTATTTAGTTCGAAATCAAGTGTTCCCTTATTTTAAGTATATACAATTATTTAAAGTGTTATGATTTCAGAACGAGCAAGAACACAGCGTTTGTTACTAGTACGAACAGGTAAAATATACTTTAGTATCCATGGCTTACTTTTTCAAATTCCTAAGAATTACTTGTCCGCTTTATTCTAAGACTTGTTTGAATTTACAAACAGCAGAATAACTTGGTGAATTTATCATTCTTAATAGTTATTTTAGTTCAAGAATATTAAAATACTTAAAGTAATGTACTTGTTACTGAAGAAGGATCTAATTCAAGTCATACAAAAGGCGTTAATAACAGCATTGGCAAAAGGAAGTAGGACGAATGGGCAGAAGGGAAGAGGGAGAAAGCGCGGAGTAGCTTGGTAAATTAGCGGTCTTTGGGGCTTTAAAAATAGTTCGCCGTCTCTCTTAGTCAGGACTTCGGAGCTTCGCAACAAGATCGACATAAAGGAACCGAACGAAACGAGCCGAAGATGCAACGAAAAGGGAAAGGCGCGTATTTGCTACTCGCTGTTTTCTCGTTTGGCGATCAAAGCTCTCGCTCGTCCTCTTTATCTCCGGCTCTCTTTGTCGTGCAATAAGAAAGGTCCAGCGCGCGCGCATGCACATACGTAGCCAGACTCTCCCTTTGCTATATATAAAGTTATACGAGCGTGTAGGCACGGGAAAAAAGCCGCGCAGGCGACGCGACGCACAACACCAAAGTACCGCGACCTGTCTTATTGGGGAACACACGCAACCACAAAGGATTAAACTTCACTCTTTCTCTTTCTCTCTTGGCTTCTATTATTTTCTTTTCTTCTACTTTCTATGGGATTACTTTCTTGTGAGATTTGCCGAACTTAGGTCACTGGACTATCAACGATTTTATTATTTTACGAATGCTGGAATAGTGGTGTAATAATTGTGGAATGTTCTTAATGGGCTAAAAATTTACCACTGACCGTCGTTAATATCCGTACTTTTTAATTTCGCGTTTACAAGGTTCTTAAGCTTAAGTTTTTTTTATAAATTATTTCATGTAAACATACATTAATCGTGACACTTTTTACTACTTTCCTTCTAAAATTATTATGTGTTGAAATATTTTTTAGATGTCGAAATTGATTGCGCGTAAAGAAAAAATGTCTGTGCAATGTTGAATTACAAAGGCAAATATAAGACTTATTAATACGTACCCATAAATACAAACTTGATTTATATTTTAATAACTCATTATGTGTGAAATCTTCGTAAAATCTTAGCATTCAATTGAAATAATATAATTATGGAACAATCGACAATAGTACGCACGAATTGCTAGTCGAATTTATTAACTTTGTTACTAGAACGTTTCTAAAGACTTATCTAAGAATAATATCTCTAGGTAATATTAGAACACAGCGCCAAGTAACGCTTGAGCTTAATACTACGAATACTTTCTAAATTTACGAAATAATCGGCCCTTACAACGATATGCTTAACATACAATGAAATAATCTTTTAAATAATTGGTGAGCATCCTACGAATGCAGTCTTAAAACGACTTGTTTTTGTTCGATCTTTTGACCAAAGAACAATATTGGTCTACGACGGCCTTATACTTTTTCACTTCCTTTCTCGTTTCCGTTCGACGACGGCTCAATAATATTACTCGCTTTCTGCCCTCTAACGCTCCACATTTTTTGCTGCCAGTTTACAATCTCTCTACATCCTCGGAGCGTTCCATCAATTGCCGCATTCCTTATTTCCGGTTGTTTTCAGCAACGCCTCATTTGACGAGCGGTTGGTTAGTTGGTTGGTTGGTTGGTTGCTTGGTTGGTCCCTTCGACGAGGGCGAAACCAAGAGCGGGCGCGCAAACAAGAGAACGAACGAGTGAACGAGCGTGAGTCCAACTCCAAATGCAAGAGCGAGACGAGAGCGAAAGAATCGTATTTTTGAAGTCTTAGAGCCTACGAGAAAAGAGAATACGTGGTGCGCACATGTGAGGCCATATGTCGAGGAGAAGCGAGGCGAGCCACGCGCCTGCACGCCGATAAATATCGTTCCACTCGGCAGCTCTATAATATTCGACAATCTTCACGTGTATTTGGGAAAGGGGGCCCAAAACTAGTGCTGACCTTCGCACGCGTTGCTTCAGACCAACGCCCGCGGCTACTCGCGACTCTCCCTTAACCAATTCCTTCTGCCGCCCCGTTATAAAGCGATAATTACACTTTTTGTACGCAATCGTCTCCCCATAAATTTTAACCACTTAATGTATCTTGATGGAGATCTTTGTCTTTGCTTTTTCTTATATTTTTTGTATAAAACATTTGAGCGTTTATCTATTATTTTCATATTTACACACGTTACACCCGTTATGTACGTTAGTCTGTAAATTGTTGACCAACTGAAGCACTTTTGGTTACAATATTAGCAATGATGATGACAACAACGACAACAACGACGATAACGACAACTATTATGACCAATGATGATGATGATGATGATGATGATGGTGATGATGATGATGATGATGATAATGATAAAAATAATAATTATTTCGTAATAGCTCGTATAAGAATCAACAAAGATAATTGATAAACAGTGGCAAACGATTTATTCGAGATACTTCGTATGCACGTCAATCTTCTCACTCATAAGCGATTTCTGCAAGGCACTTAATTGTTTCTGGGAAGTCTGTCGAGAAGGAGGCCGTGGCAAAATGAGTAAAGAAAAAGAAAAGTGCGAATTTGAAGGCGAGATCTGGAGAAGGACGCGTGAGCGAGCGAGAGACAGAGGGGGGGGGGGGGGGGGGGGGGGAGGGAGAGAGAGAGAGAGAGTGAGCGAATCGATGGGTCTTAGTGTGCATTTAAAGGGCGGATGATTTCGCAGCATTTGCGGCGCCTCGGGCAAGGTGATAGATAAAGATAGATGCGTTGGTTTCCGGCGTGTCACGTTAACAAGTTCGGGATCTTATGCACTCTGGTTCAACTATATATGTACTATACACATGCCTAAGGGCTGGAAGAATAGACACGCGCCACGACTAAAGAGCAGACGAGAATGAGCGAAACGACATGACGGATGAACACAGGAGGCGCAAAGACTGCGTAATATATAAGGCATCCGACATATTCATTATAATTAACGTTAAACTAACGATTATTTATCGTACACGTATAGGATATTTATCATAAATTCTCGACTAACTTTAGCCAATGATGTATGCCGTGACTGTGAAGCTGATAAATTTAAAAACAAATGGCATAATTTTATTAGAAATGAGTTAAATTTGGACGATTGGGCAGTGGGCGGGGTTGGAGGCAGGGGTGGATTTGGCTATGTACGAATGCGGTTTAGGGTACTGGCGGTGGATGGCGGGGGTAGGTAAGGGAAGTAAGGATTGAACGGAATAGGAAAATTATGGGACGAAAAGTGAGGGCCAACGGGAGAAACGAGAGTCTCGGTCGTTTCGGAGCGAGACTAAAAACAAAGAGGGAAAAAGCAAGGAAACGAGTTGCATATTTAACGTAAGCTCAAGTCATCTGGCGCTCGGCAGTCGGCAGACTCTCCCGTAGAGAGGCTGGCGGTGCTGAGAAATTGAAAATAGAATTAGGCGCCGAGGGCAATTGCGGATGGGCGCGGCTCTCAGATGTAAAAGAGGGCCGCGAGGAGGTTGCGGCTGGAGTTGCGCCGAGTTTCAAGGGTCGGCTGACGAAGTTGACGATGTTTTCATTGCAATTACCTTGCGCGCGACGCCTCATCTTTCAAGTGCCGTCTCGTTATCGCGGCCGCTTCCGGAGATCGAGCTTTTCGTCGCCGAGCTCCCCCTGAGGCATTATGCGCCGCAATTTACAGAGCCCAAGCTTTTGAGGAATCGATTTTAGCTGGGAGGACGGGATGATGGATCGCTTTAAAGTACGCAAATGATTGATGCGCCGCAAATCCCTCTCTACCTTCATTCTGGATTTATCTGTTTTTAATGACGCTTCGAAACGAAGCTTTCGACTCCAATTAAAGTATATAAAGTTGTCGGTAGCTGGGTATCGCATGACCGTTCCTCTTTCTCATTGCAGATTGTCAGGGAGCACGAGTCTCAGCAGTCCATCGGGTGGTAACGGCGGTAGCGGCGGCAACGGCGCCACCGACGGCGAAGGTGGCGGCGGTGGCGGCGGCGGCGGCGGCGGCGGCGGCGGCGGAGGGAGCGACGGGGCTGTCGGGAACCCGAGCGCCAGCGGCGATTTCCTCCGCAGGAGTCACCCCCTCTCGGAGCACGCGGCGCTCCATCCCGCCTATCGGCTCAACTACATGGACCACCTTTACCACCAGCTCCAGGCCTCCACGCACAGCCCCAGCGCCTCCTTGCACGGTACGTCACAATTCACACCCTTTTCTGACCTTTACTCTAAATGACTTTTAGCTCGTGGATGAAGAGAGTCCGCGTCTTGATTACATGTTAATATAATATTTTATATTACGTCCAGGCGCCTGTATTTTCATAAGGCAAAGTATTTTAATGCTAGGTGACAATGAATTACCGTTTCGTTTATCAAAATGTCCTTACGTCATCCAAATGTAAAAATTATGTAGAACTGCTTCTGGTTATATTGATTAATATTTCATGCTTCTCTCAGACAATGAATTGCTTTTCCCTTTAATTTTGTTGAATTGAAATGAAGCTTGCTTATTTTGTATTTACCTTTGCCAATTAACAAACATATAAAATAATTTTATCTTTGAAAACGTATGTAAAATGTATGAACTATGAATAATAAAGATAAATGAAAATAATGTTTTAATGAATGTTATAATACTGAAATTAAAATAAAATTTCCTCTAATAAGTTCCTCAAACACATATAGACATATGTGGTAGTAAAGATAAGTATTTTATCAATTAGACATTTCAAGAGTTGATTTAAAGGAATATATTGGTTATATATTGGCTATATTGGTAATAAAAAATATAATAATAATAATAATAATAATAATAATAATACATTGAAAGGAGTAAAATAATGGAGCTGTTGGTAGTTATTAATGTATAGCAAATACTTTGCATGAATCGTCGTATTGTTACAAAAGATGGCTAAAGAAGTGCATATCGTCACCACATACGGGCGGATGGTTTCAATACAAGTACTTTTTCTATAAGATCTTGTTGTGTCGAAACTGCCCGCATTTCCGGCGGATATCTAATATAAATGATCTATAGTCGCGATATTGTAAGATAGTCGTGCAACATATATATATATATATATATATATATATATATATATACAAGAATATGTCTCAGATTCCAATGAAAAGCGAGATACGTAAGGTTCCTAACGAATATCTTTATAGCCTTTTGAGAATCCATAGATGATTCGTTTTTGATGATATAATTGATTAAATGGCTTTAATAATAATCTCTATCATAAAAATAGATTAACATAGAAAATTAGACTTTCCTAGCTTGGGATTAAGATTAAACAATGATTTTCTTATTTTATCATAGGACTGGGTGGTTTGGGGCCAGAATATCTTTTACATGCAGCTGGTCCTGGAAGTACAATAGCTTCATCAGAATTTCCATTTTCAATTGATGGTAAGTAAAATTTCAGTTATGTCATTCAAATGTTATTTAAATTATTAAATAATTTTTTGATGTGATAAAAGGAGTTTGTTTGCGTGTTGTGAGAGAAAATTTTTTTTAATTTTTCCTCCGCTCCCTCCATCCTCCATTGTAAAATATAGCAACAAAATTTATTTCTATAATTGCCTGCTCTTAATAAACATTGGCGCGATAAAAATCAATAGAACTCTAAATTTTATTTAAATCTCTTTATAAATTATTTGTCATAAATATAATTTTTTCTCTAAGAATTCTAATAATGTCATGCTTAATATATAGTAAAATTAATATATATTGAGTAAATACACATGTTTTCAGATAAATATGTATTACATTGCTTTAAATATACAATACTATGAGAACAAATACAATAGTAATTCTAAAATTGATAATAGTAATAAAAAAAAAATTCTCTCAGAAGATTGTCGATTTTCATAACAAAAATAATTTCATTAATCTGTAGACCAAGATTAATAAAATACAAAATCTTAATAATACTTTCATTCCCAGCTAGCCTCTAGTAGCTGGATTGCATATAAAATTTACGTTAATCGTTGCATTATCAAACATACAAATTAATTGGATTATATTGAAGATGATGAACGTATGAAGTATTGAGTATAATATATTAATAATTACACAAAACATTAAAATTGGATAATATATTCATTGAATTAAATGTAATCCTAGAAACGTATAATAGTATTTGTGAAAAGATGTTAAGTTTAAAGGAGTAGTATTTACAGGAGTAACTAAAGGCTAGTCGTGCGAAAAGACTAAATTATTTTTGCCATTGTTCTTAATTCCGAGGATGCTGCTTTTCTCTATCTTGGCTTCGGATATTTAGGTAGAACGAATTGAGATGATTAAAAGTGAAGTGGAGAGAACCGAGATACTAGCATGCAAGCTGTAACTGTATGGTGGGAGCGTATCGCGATAAGGGCAAGAACAACAACGGCATAAACACAGCATGAAAGAGTAAGGAGAGATAGAGAGTGGGGGAAAGGGAGGGAGATATGGAGAGTGGGAGAGATAAAGAGTGAGAGAGAGAGAGAGAGAGAGAGAGAGAGAGAGAAAGGGGAGAGCAGAAATCCGAGGACATGGGTGAGATATACATGGCAAGCAGTCGAAGGGACAGTCGAGAGATTGCGCTTGCAGTCGAAGAGGACTAGCTGCTAACCAATGGTAGTTGGCGATCGAGGAAACACGGAGATGAAGAGAGTGAGAGAAACTGAGAGAGAGAGAGAGAGAGAGAGAAAGAGAGAGAGAGAGAGAGAGAGAGACAGCGAGGAGCTCGTTAGCCGCGTCCGCACGCTATGGCGCATAATTGAATCAGCTCGATAGAGCAACACGACCTCATTAACACCTTAGCGCCAACCCTACAGGTTGTCTCACGTTTCACAGTAGTGTCAGTGCTGCGAGATCTCGCTAGTACTTTACTGCCAGCACTGGCTTCTCTTGGCTCGTCCTCCGCTCATTAATAAAAATGCATAAGGCCGTCGAAGAAAAGATTTTTTTAAGCAGAATATCACGCTACTTTCCCCTCCATTAAACAGAATACATTGAATCCATAGAATTTTACTGGCAGGTTGAGAAATATTTTCCCTTCTAGAGCATTGGCTTCGGCATGCCCCATGATTTTTAAGAAGAAGAAGAAGAAGAAGAAGAAGAAGAAGAATAAGAAGAAGAAGAAGGAGAAGAAAAATGTGCATTAAAAAAGAAATAATATCTTATCCTTAGTAGACGGCTTTTATCGAGCCTATCGATGCTACCGATTCAGCAAATTTACATGTCTCAATTCGGTTATGCGAGTGCGCATCCGACATTCGCGAATGTATCCACTCCGCCCCTTAATTTTCATGCGCATCGTGGTGAGCGACCACTAGTACCCGAGAAGAACGTGGGATATATAAGCGTCCGAGACTTATAATGAATTAGATTAGCTGAGCCAACATGTATATTGCTGCTTAATTAATCAATGAACTCATGTACGAATTTGCATTTTTATTCAGGCCAGTATCGAGCAGCACGACGCTTTTTCTTCTGCTGACTGGAATCGTTCTGTCTCTCAAGCCTTAATTATATACTATGTCATGTCAGAAAAATTCTTCTTATTAGCTTCCATTTTGTTCAATCATCGATAATTTATTTATAGCGTAAGAAATAATGTCGCATTTACATTTTGATTCAACTTTGTAATTTATAGTAGCATGAAATGCCGTTAATAGCATTGTATATCGAATGTTAGACGAGGTGTTATTTTTAATAAAAAAAAAACAAAAAAAAAACAAAAAAAAATAACGCAATTTTACTTTTTGCTTGAAATTAATTTATTAAAATAATCAATGAAGAGGTGATCGAAGTGAAATATTTTCTTAAAAAATAATTAATTTTCAATGGCAATTATGCTTGCTTAGAAGTTTATTGTAATTATATATAAAATCATTTTACACGCGAGAATTATTACATAAATGTAATCCACGAGTAATCCAGCAGCCTTAGAAATATTCTTCAAGAAATGTTCTCGACTAAAGCTTATGACTTCAAGCGCTTTATTCATTCGCGAAAGCCCGCAAGTGTAGCCGTTAAGCTGGAGATACATAAATCTACATTTTATGTCTCTCGCACATTATGTTAATACGAAAAATGTCCATTGCCTAGCAATATGCGAAAAAAAAATGTTTTTTATGTAAATTAAAACATAAATTTTCATCACTGTTTGTATGGTTACGTTTTGTCACATCCGTTCAAATACGAAATCATAAAAATTTTCGATGTTTGAAATTTAGTTTCATTATAAGATATATCGATAAAAATCATTAAAAAAAAGTAATTAAAATTTATTGGATTCGGTGCGAAATATATAATTAAATGAAAATAAAATAAACATCAAATCCGAATCCATAGCCGAATGTTAATCTTTGTCCATTAAGACATAAAACGTAAGGTTAAACTGCAAATGAGCGCTTTATGAGATGATTTGCTACGATACTTAAAAGCTTCGCCTCTCCGCCGAATGCCATAGTTTCATGGTCAATTTAACAAGGTAAGTATCTCGTACCATCAAATCGATTGTAAAATTGTACAATCAATCATTCAATCTGGAGTAATCTGCGCCTAATAAAAACAAAAAACAAAACAAAACAAAAAAAAAAAAGAAAAAAAGCAAAAACAAAAAGAAAAAAAGCAAAAACAAAAGATAACCAACGTGAGCTCTATGTAAGGAGATGTTAGAGACTGAACAAAGAAACAGCAAGTGAAAAAAAAAGCATAAGAATGAGAAAAAAGGAAAAATTATGTATGGGGTTGATCGATCGGAAGTAATGAATTCACCACGAGTCTCAGCGGGCAAAAAAAGGGGTGTACAGTGGACCACCGCAGATTCGCTGTGGCACATAAAGATTATTCGAAAATCGGGGCACGCCAGGTAACTTTACACTCACTTTTGCTGGACCGCCTGAAAACCGAGATTTCTTCTTTCTCTCTTGAATCGGTCTCGGTCTCTCTCTCTCTCTCTCTCTCTCTCGCCTTCATTCCCAGTTTACAAAGGGTGCTCACAAACTTTCTCATGAAACAACCTTTAGAACAATGAATAAGTTATGCAAATATACGAGCTAGCTTGAAGAGACTATGAGAGGTGATTATTAGCGTACGTATGGCCCTTTACTTTCTCCGTTTCTGTTTATTTTCCATTCTCATTCCTTTTTATTTTTAACTAACCATGCGAGGTGTTTATTGTTTTGCAAACAAATATAATATGCGGTTTTTTCTTTCTTTATGGTTAACTTATGAGATTTATCACAACGTATTTGTGAATGTCAACAAGTGCTGAACTCTGTTACACGAACTTGTCATCATTACGTACTCTTAATTCCATACTTTTAATATTCCGTTATATTTCTCATTATCTACATTCTCGTAACGAGCATTGGCGAAGTATTTTTTTTTTTTAATTTTTTTGTTTGTTTTTTTTTTTTATTTTTCAATTATTGAAACGGATTTAACAATGTGTTTATATTGAAATTTTATCCAACGACTTTTCTCAATTTCGAATTGCCTTTTAGTTAAAAGTTGACCTTACTTTGACAATGGATCATGGCTAATTACATAAAAATGAAACGAGGCCACCAATTAGCGGGACATTCGTGAGAAAAAAATTGCCATCTATAAAGATTGGGACAATATTCATGGGATAAGTAATTTGTGCCTTAATGCTTACAAAAGTCAAGGAGTGTAATCCGAGCAGGGAATTCAAGATAACTCCATTCCACATTTTTACTACATATACGTTTTCGCACTCTTGTAGCCTTGGTGTTCCTTTTGCCTCTATGCGACGTTGTCAAGTAAAGAAGGCAACGAAAGCAAGAGAAAGAAGAAGTCTACGAACCGAGCGGGGCCTGTGGTTTCGGGCAAATCGACGTTAAAATGCCGAGACCGCAGCCGTACCTGCAGTCACTTCTCCTTTTTCATCTTTTTATGTAAACGATTACTTGCACGCGCATGCATAGTTGTCCGTGCAGTAAGAGTCACCACACGAAAAACACATTAAGAATATTTATCAGTTATCCTACTTTAATCGTAATCGTACTCACGAACGTACCGCAACAATGTCTCAATTTTAACCTTCGTTAAGTCGTTTCTGCTCGTTATCATCGGGCCAGCTTATCATCGAATCTGATTGTCCGGTCAATATAAAGTTGCGCCAATGGTAATTGGTACGTTGAGTCAACAAATTCGGAATACAACGTTCTTAATGTATTTAAAGCGACGAAGCGACTTCCGTATCAATTCGAGTCCAAAGCCTCTCCCTACGACTCTCAGGGCATATTGTATTTTGAAAAGTGCTGAATATGAAATCGTTATTAATCAGATTTAAACAATCCGTCAGCTTACTTTCTATCACAACTCGCAACTTCCTACAATAAAATATAGTTTAAACTTAACGGCGAACGATAATCGATTACATTTTTTAATTAAACATATTGATTGCAAATATAAAACTATCGATATATAATCAAAACATAGATTCTAGCTTTTAATTAAAAAATATAATATTCAACAACTCGCGGAGTTACATTTTTATTAAGTTTTATGATATATGTCTGTTTTGACTTACAGGCTCTAGATTGGGCAGTCCTCGAGCTTCAGCAATAAGGGCTAGTCGTAAAAGGGCACTGAGCAGCTCTCCATATTCAGACCGTTTCGACATCGACAGCATGATTCGTTTCAGTCCCAACAGTTTGGCCTCCATTGTCAATGGTTCCCGAAGTAGCAGCGCAAGTGGTAGTTACGGTCACCTTTCCGCAGGTTAGTTTTATTCTATTTCATTTTTCGGTCATTTGTCTTGTTCGCTAGATGAATTACAAATTGCGCATAAAAGAACATAGTGGCTTTGGAGGCGCTTCTTTTCTCTTTTTTGTTGTTTTGTTGTTGTTGTTTTTGTTGTTGTTTTATTGTTTTTTTGTTTTTTTTTGTTTTTTTTGTTGTTGTTGTTGTTTGTTTTTTTTTTTTGTTCTTTTTTGCGTATTAACACTACGGATGGTGGATTTTTTCATTCTTTTTTCTTCTTTCTTTTTCTCCACTTAATATTATTAAGAATTTGTGTACTTTTTCGTAGATTGTTGATTGATGTAGGTCAGTATGATAATGAATGTAATATTGGGATTAAATTGGGATAATATCAATATGCAATTTACATAATTACGAAGATATAAGGTAATTTAATAATCTCTTTAAAAAAAAAAAACTAAACTAATAATCATCTATCGATTATCTATTAAGAATATATATTTTTTATTTTTTATGGGTGTCTTGAACAATCGCCCTTGTTGATTATAATGGTATTAAATTAATTAATAAAGGAATGCATAGGGTGTCTGGAATTTTTAAAAATTTTGTTTAATATTTTATCAATACATTGTTATATTAAAACAAAAAAGAAAAGAATTTAACTTTATAAAAAAATTAAAATGTTATTGTATATTGTAAAGCAACTTGTGTTTTTTCCTTCTATGCCTTTTTTAAAAATTGCTAGCTTGAGATATTCGTAAAAGGAAAGGTACCCATCCCTCGTTTTCTTAGAAAGACTGACTTGTACTTCTCATATTTCTTCGTATTTTTAATACAATGTATTGAGAAGTTGGACATTTGAAAAATTAAAATTTCAAAATCTTCATATTGTGTTAAATTTTTGAAAATTTATACAATTAGTTTTTGTTTCTTTTTTATTTGGGATGAAAACCCAGTGGTATTGTATAGTTTGCAGTGTCGTTTGAAAGAGAGGAAAAATTATGGGTACAAGACATTAATATAAAGCATTGTCGTCTCAGAAAGTAGTTAAATGGACAATTTGCAGTCTGAGTGATTAGGCAATCTCATGAATCATCGGCTAAGTTAACCAAGCTTGCCTATTTATAAATTCAAGCAATTATTTAATTGCAGTGCTTTATGTATAAATAATAAGTGAATAACTTTTCAATTTAATTTCAAAATATAATTGAACTCGTTATGTATCACTGTCACTGCATGTGTTTAGTAATTTTTCTCGCAAATGTTTTTCCCCCTGCTCACACATATTCAATTATTATACTAGATAAATAATTATTATAACAATTCTTAGACATAATTAAACGGTAATCCCGTATAAATCGTATAATTACACTAGATAAGCTTGATTCAATCTTACAAATAAGCTTACTTAACCGCGCATTATAATTTTAATGAACGTGTAAGCGCTAATAATAATCTATGTAAATTATGATGCTGTGAGAAAGGGTTGGCTTTGAAATATCCGAATGCCCTCATTAGATATTCAATTTTATGCTTTACGTAAGAACAATGTATGCGCGTATGACTCTACATTGATATATAAAGATCTCGAGTTGCCCTTTTGATACTTTTTACACTTTTAAACACGAACATAAACTTTTTGACATTGCTGATATAATGTACGACTGCAATGGGCAGAGAAAGTAATATTTTATTCAAGAAAGGGGAAAATATTAAATGTATATTTAAAGGTCGAGAAATAGGCGTAACGCAAGTCGCTTAAGAGTATTTATTATAATTTGGTAATTCATGGTAGTCATGATTGATAAACTGACTGCAAAGTACATCGCAAAATGTAATTTTTATTCATGCAGTAGCGTTCATAAAATTCACAAGTCCATCGAGACATAGGGAGCGTCGGGGAGACGATGAAGAGGCGACAAGGAGGCGACGAGTCGACGAGTCGACGAGACGCGCAGAGAGACGAGACGAGCCACTGGGTTGCGACGCTCACTTTTTTTTTCAATATGTAAATGTGTCCGCTTGGATATATGGGCTGATTCATTGAAATGATTTAGCACGCTTGCCTGGGATGAGGCGAGAGCGATAAATAGTGCTCGCGGAGAAGGAAAAAGCGGAGGAGGAAGGGAGGAGAATTTTGTATGCATGCAGCCCGTGGCTGCCGGAAGTGCGAGGACGCGCGCGTCGACTGACAAATCAACAGGCAGGCTAACTAACTGGCCTTTTAACCAATATCTCGTGTAGGCATCGAACTTTCTACGGCACTACTGTCCACAAATTCGTTCGACTCGATCGTCGTCGATACTATCTTGGCCCTACACCCAGGTACCTTTCCGCGCGTGAAAATACCTTCTCGAGCAGTGAAAATTCCCAAAATTGTTCGAGACTTCAATATTTCCGAGACACGCGTCACTGCATCTTGTCGAGTTTCAGAATTTGGGGAACATTCTAGCATCTAGCCTGGCCATCTATGTAGTTGCTAAGGGCACGGGAAGGGCGATATGTGGAGTTTATTTTTTTATTTTTTTATTTTTTTATTTTTTGTTTTGTTTTGTTTTTTTTTTCTTTTTGAATGTCGGGGGCGGGAGGGAGAGAGGGTGGAGTATGGAGAGAGGAGGAGTAGTAGAAGGGAGGAGAAGCACGGCTTCTCGAACCAAATGCTTCGAATAGGAAAGTCTTGGTCGCCAAATGGCGCGATTAAACCTTAAAAAATAGCTGGAACTCTGGACTCTTATTTTGCAGCAATGAGCCCGGCTCTGGGCATGCACCCGGGTATGGCACCGCATCTACAGCAGCTCCAAGCTCACCTGTTACGGAGCGCGGCGGCAGCGGCCCTCCTGCCCCACGGTCATCCCTTGCAGCCGCCTCCGCCGCCGCCGCCACCGCCGCAGAGCCAGCCGCAGCCACCTACCCAGCATCCTCATGGACACGCTCACAACCATGCCCACGGCCACCCCCATTCCCATACGCACGCGCACACGCACGCGCATGGTTTAGCGGCCCACACGCAGCTCTACCCCGTCTCGCCGCACACAGCCCACGTGGCCCACGGGGCCGTTCCACCAAAAGCCGAGGTACATCAACATTTCCCTCCCTATCTATTTCTCAAGCTCTCCCCGTTTGCCTCGTTACCCCTCCCGCCATACGCACTCAATCCACTCGGCAGGATTAACGGAGGGAGCCGAGCCATCTTGATATAACGTTAGTTCCGTTCGCGCGACTACTTTCAACCGCTCCGCGCTTGGCCAATATCGTTCCACACGTCGTACGGTGGTCGCTGAAGGCGGAGTGTTCGGTGGGGTTAGGGAGGGTAACGAGAGGTGTCGCGTCGGGACTAAGGTGCTGGGCGCACAAGCGACGCGCTCGGAATCTCTTGATTAAAATGAGAATAAAGTCCATTCTATTATTCCGACTTATTTCACGCATGCTCGTTAAAATAATAAAGAAAGAAAGGCGCGACGATATCACAAAGAGGATAAAGCGAGCGAAAGCAGGAGTCAATCGTCTTGGGGCCCGCTTTCGCGGAGGGCTTATCCGCTCGTACGTGGTCGCTGCGGGTGTCGATTCGATCTCCAGCCAGCGAATAATGCCCGAACAAATCGGCGCGGCCAGCGCGAGCGGGAGGCCGCGGACGGGCCCTTCGGAGTTCGGAGGAGCAGCGGATTGGGTTACCCCGTGTACCCTGCACGCTCCTCGAGTTACAAGCAATCTCGCGCACATTATTTCGCCCAACTTATGTTCGCCTTGACTACTTCCAAAACCATTCGCCATCGATCGTGACATCTGACTGAAAATAATTATCCGCGTCCCCCCCCCCCCCCTCCCCCAACCCCATCCCCATCCCCACACGCTACGAATCTTTTTTCTCCATTTTGCTTTCTATTTTTTACTTTTTATTCTCGAACCTTCTTTTTCTCCACTGCTTCTTGCCGCTTTATCTTTCCTCCGTTGATTTATTCGCGTCTATACGCTCAGCCAGTTACTCATTTTCTCTCGTCTCTCTCTCTCTCTCTCTCTCTCTCTCTCTCTCTCTCCCTCCCCGTATATCGCCCTTCTTCTCCCTCTTCAACTATTTATTTATTTTCGTTCCCTTTTCTCATATGCTTCCTCCTCATTTTCTTTTTGTCTTTGGGCCATGTGCTCGTATTTACTTTCAATTTTTAATAACTTAAAGGAATCGTAAGTGCTGCTTTTTAAATTGATACTCCAACTTTCTGCTCCTCTTAAGCTAAAGCCATCTTATTCGTTTTAATTACCTCTCGATGTTATTTTATAACAACTTTTATAATTCATTAATACCAATTTTTCGAATTACCTTGTTATTTATTATTAATTTAAGTCAACGAAGCTCGGTCACAAAATAGTTACGGAATATCAATTGGCAAACTTGCAACGGAGTATTCTTTAAAGAACAAAATTTGAATACCACGCTATAACGAATGAGCGAATTGGGCTTTCACAGCCCATATTTTCTTGTCGTGCTTTAATGCTTTACGTAGTGCAAATAGCCGGACCCTTGCAGCTACCGAAACGTTAATGCGCAGAATTTTAGTATGTCACGGTGGTGGCTCCTGTCGAGATGTACGAGAGTGATGTTCACCCAAATCACTAAATCACCATGAATCGCCGGCAGGCAAAAAGTAAAGTAATGACGTACGAGACTAACAATGTACAACGAACTTTAAGCTTTCGAAAAAATGCATTCACATTCGCGATTCATTGATATACATTTTTACTTCGCTTCCCGCACTCGACATCTATATTAAAAGGAGAAAAGAAAAACGTGACTTATCAATTTGAAAAAAGCTTCTCGACTCCGTAAGCTCACGCATGATAAAATATCAACAGCAGAGGAATAAAACAACCCGTATGTGCTAAATGTTCCAGCAAGCGATCGAGTCGTGCAGAAAGGCGTCGGACGTTTCGAACAGATCGATCACGGCTGAAGCGGACACCTCGTCAAGGCGAGGTTCGACCAAAGTAAAAAGAGAACCGGCTACCACGACTACGGCCACGAGTACGATACCACCGAGTCATCCCCAGGGCCTCAGTCCGAGCGAGGATCTTCGGGACGAGCCTGGCGATTTTATCGAGACGAATTGCCACTGGAAGGACTGCGGCCTTGAGTTTCCCACTCAGGTAAAAATAATCTGTAGATACTATTATAATTCCTCTTCTCGTTCGCCAGAACTATTTCTTAGTGGCACTGTCCAGTTGCAATCAAAGTTCCGCAGCACATTGATTTGTATCTCTTCAAAAATTTATCGTTTTTTCCACCTTTTCTTTTAATTTACAGGACGATCTTGTAAAGCACATCAATAACGACCATATTCATGCAAACAAAAAGAGTTTTGTTTGTGGATGGGAGCAGTGCTCGAGGGAAGAAAAACCGTTTAAAGCGCAGTACATGCTTGTTGTTCATATGAGAAGACACACGGGCGAAAAACCTCATAAATGCACGGTAATTAAATTCATCGACACTGATAGAAATTTTCAATGATACATCATTTCAAGAAGAGAATTTTTATTCTCTAACTTTGGAAAATACTTCAAGACTTGACTAGAAACTACTTTTACGCCTTACTCATATCATTGATATATACAGTGCTTACGCCTGACGACATTAAGCGTCAACCAACTGAAATACTCTTACAAATCGTATTGGTTTTGAATTATTTTCCTACAAAACATCAAACCTTAAATAAATTATTAAGATAAATAAATATATAATACATTATTTATTGCTTTCTTACTGGGAAATTATTTATTGCTTGCTCGACACCCAAGGATTGGTAAGAGAAATAAGAATAAAAATAATCCATTCATTTTATTTATGTACATGCTATCATTTTAGCACTACCTTGACTTATGGTTTTTTTTTAAAAAAGTTTTCCCCATTTGTACAATCCTCTCGCATGTTTTTGTGTTAATTAATTTGTCAAATAAATTGAATTGAATCGAATTTGAAAATTGAACTGTTCTCGTTCTTGTTTTAGTTCGAGGGCTGCTTTAAAGCCTATTCGAGATTGGAAAATTTGAAAACTCACTTAAGGTCACATACCGGAGAAAAGCCATATACTTGCGAGTATCCAGGCTGCAGTAAAGCCTTCAGCAATGCAAGTGATCGAGCAAAACATCAAAACCGAACGCATTCGAACGAGGTAATATTTTCATTTTCTCGTTAAATAACCATCAAAACAATCCAATAGCTTAGTTACTTCCGCCCGTGATACACAGAAACATAAATTACAACTATAATTAGAAAATTATTGTTATTTAGAAACCATACGTATGCAAAGCGCCAGGTTGCACTAAAAGGTACACCGATCCGTCATCCCTTCGCAAGCACGTTAAAACTGTTCACGGAGCTGAATTTTACGCAAATAAAAAACACAAAGGCGGAAGTGGCGGTGGTACTGGAGGAGGTGGAAACGGTGCTGATGGTGGTGGTAGTGACGAAGCTGGTGCGGGAGGTCACAGCAGTCCAAGTCGTAGCGAAGATTTGCACCCGAAGACGCCTAGTCTTTCTAGCCCGAGTGTTAAGTCGGAAAGCGAAGCGAATAGTCCTCCTAGTATGATGAATCAACAAGGCAGTCCACTTCACGCGGCTAGTTGTAACGAAGATACGCCTATGGGTATGGGCAACGTCGCTGGAGATGGTGTCGCATTACCGGACGAACCCTGGAACGAGGAACCAGACGATCTCGACATAGCCGATCTGCCAGTCGCGCTTCGTGCTATGGTTTGTTTCCAGATTTTTATGTCTCCTTCATTTTATTTTTTTTTTTAATTTTTTTTTGACCTATTTTTTTTTAAGTTTTAATCGTACGACTGACTTCCTGAATGTTTTATTTCAATTAGGTTGGTGGCTTAGATTCGCATCAACATATTCCCCTGACATCCAGGAATCGCTTGAAGAATCGACTAGGCGTAAAACCAGGATCCAATTTATCATCATTAGCCGGTGGTAATATGCGCATTGGTCGGGGCCTTGGTGGTCCACAGGGTAATATCGGCGATTTGAATAGACGTATCACCGATCTCAAAATGGAAGGCGGTATAACACCCAATCGTCAGACGAGTCTCTCAGATTTGCAGCTTAGATTGCAACCATTGAGCGAGCCAAGACGCGACAGTAACAGTACTGTTAGCACTTATTATGGTAGCATGAAGTCTACGGATTTTGGCAGCAGTCGGCGAAGCAGTCAGGCGAGCGGTGTTAGCGCTATAAGAACTGGCCCTGTTGGCCCCGGAAGCTTCTATGATCCAATCAGTCCTGGTACATCGAGGAGAAGTAGCCAAATGAGCACTACCTCTGCAAGAATGAACGTTACTGGACAGCTGCAAGGGCCTTACTCCACCAACAATTTGGTGGTTCAAACGCAAAATATGTCACTACAAGTGAGTATTTATCTTTATAATATAAATTCGCTTACGTATTAATAATCATTGCACAAATAATGACTCGACATATCTTAAATGCTTAGGGTGCGCATACAATTACGAACGAATGGTCTCTTCCAAGTCATTGTCCTCAATCTGCGGCTAGTGATCGACGAATGTCTGAGCCTGCTCGAGGTCATCAGAATCAACGTATATCCCCGCCAATGCCACCAAGACCACGTTCTGCTCAATTACCCGAGCTCCATCCCAATCAAGAAGTGATCCTCGACGAGGTTGGTGAAGGTGAAATGGTTGAGAACAAACTTGTCATCCCCGACGAAATGATGCAGTACCTAAATCAAGTTCAGCAAGGTGGAATGCAAGTCAATTATCGTGGTAGCCCGTTGCCAAATTGTCGATCGCCTATTTGTACGAATCCTCAACATTGTGTTCAAAGACCCCAACAACAGTGCAATTATAGCGCCCAACATCAAACACAATGTTACAATCCATCCAATCAAAGTAACATATCACAATCACAGAATTGCCAAGATTACACTTCTGTTGGATCTCCGTATTCCCAATGCCCCAATTTACGTATAAGTCAAACATCCGGCTATTGCCCGCCATCAAACTTTGGACCACAGTCATGTTCATCGCAAATCGCAAGTCCTGGACAAGTGATGTCACCAAACGGTTCACACTATGCTCCGAGTCACGTGAGCGACCAACCATTGACATCTCCAGCGGCTGGTGCACTTGCTCCGCCACAAGGAATGCAAAACCTTCATCAAAATACCGCCCAAATGAGTAGGAATTGTTCTCAAAATAACGAGCACAGTACTTACTATACGAATTACGGCTGTCAGGCTCAAATTACTAATAACTGTGCTGCCCAGCAAGTTCCTGGTCGTCCGTTAATTCAATCATGCTCTCCCATGCACAATAGTCTCGGCCAAACGTGCAATGCTGGGCACGTGGCAAGAAATTCTAATAATATCTGTCAACCTATGTCACCGCACTGCCAACAGCAAGTAGCTCAAGTCGATACCCATCGCAATATGCCCGGTGGAATAATACACAATCAATGTATCATGCAAATGAATACTGATCAATGTATGTTACCAATGCATGGAAATGCTGGCATCGAGCATCGACATGTCACCAACGCATCTAAACCAAACTCAATAACTCCGGTCATGAGCCCTATTATGGCTGATCAATGCCCTAGATCCGTTACATCACTCTGCTCGCAACCCAGTCCAGCCAGTCAGAAGACTTCATTAAATCCTGGAGATATGCAAGTTCAGAGTCCGTGCTCTCAAATTTCGGCCGGTAGCTGTGTTCATCCAAATACTCTAGTTAATCATCGACCAGTTAATGTACAAAATATGTTACCGAAGGAGTCAGCAAGAACCTGTTCACAGAATAATTGTCACGCACAATATTGCTGTCACGTGCAGCAACAGCAGCAGCAGCAGCAACAACACCACCACCACCAGCAGCAGCAGCAGCAGCAGCAGCAGCAGCAGCAGCAGCAGCAACAGCAGCAGCAACAGCAACAAACGACTCAACAACAACAACAACAACAACAACAACAAGGACAACAGAACACGCGAGACCAACAGCACCGATTTAATAACTGCGGTAACGATTGTCAGTGGACCTACAATACCGAACAGTGCTGTATTGGCGGTCTGCCTCATCACGGTCATGCTGGCAACGGCAATACACCAGAGATCCAGTGCCGGGATATCAGTCAATCTCAACAAGGCTCGCCTGTGAAGCCTCCGCAAGGTATGCGCCAAGATTCGTATCGTCGAACACTGGAGTATGTGCAGCAGTGCAGAAATTGGTCGGGCAATGGAATAACTCAGGCACCAGAGACCAGCGTCTCGAGTTCGACTCATCCGATGTCATTACCTCAGCCATTGCCAGCCAGCGCCAATATGATCGTTAATGATATGACATCCTCGTTAAGTTCACTTTTAGAAGAAAATAGGTATTTGCAGATGATTCAGTGATCTCACGCCTCGATTTTTCGTTTATACGAAAGTTTTGACCGCATTATCGCGCGGATCCAGGATCCACAGTCCTATAAAACTCGGCATTACGTATCCCAGGAAAGCTTAAGATTCTCTATTGTATAGGTTCTATATATGTATAGGTAAAAAAACAATTATGTCACATTCATTTTTCGATATTTTGTTTATAAATAGGAGCCGTGCGAAAGTAAGCGAGAAGATTGCCTGTAGATTTACTTTATTAAAGATTCTTTCGGACTCAACCAGTGACGGCGATTTTATATAAACTCGCGAATAAAGTGATAAGTTACTCAAAGTAACTTGAGTTATTATTTTAATGTTTTATAAACTATCCGACTCAAGTTACGGAATTATATTTTCATATATAATTCTAGCGTCTTAAAAAAATGCATTTGCATTACATTTTTATCCAATGTAAGTAGCCGATTAAACAAAAAAATTAAAAAAAAAAAAAAAAAAAAAGATTTAGAGAAACCCATGAGAAAAATCGTTCTTCAGTTAAATACTAATTAAGAATTTTTAAAATGTTTGTTACAATTATAGATGAAAAGTAGGTAAAAATGATTAATGTTTTATTTAGACGACTTTCAACAATGCGACGACAAAAACTGTGATATGATCGAAAAATCGAAGGCGACGCGACGCAGAACACATGAGCGGCGCGTATGATAAAATGAAGAACCAGTGGTTACTTCATCAAGGCCAATATTAGATTTTTAAGCAATTGTAGATAGAAATGTCATATAGAATGAGTAGGGCGCGTAGGAAGACTTTTTAGATTTACGCTTCGGTAAAGCTTTGTGAGACGGAGGACCGAGAATCGAGACTCCGTTAATTGACGAGAAAATGCCTAGAGACTTAGACTTTAATCGACCTGTTTTGTTGTTATGAAAGTGTATGTTTTGTACGAATTTTATTATATTATTTAGGCGTGATGAAAGTTCGTGGAAGCCAACAGTATATTTGTGAATACTATAAATACGACTGACTATTGTAATTGTAGTTATAAGCGCGTAAACGTGCTTGTGAAATATTTTAAGACGAATGTGTGCCTTATAAGCGACTCAAAAATTGACTACCAAGAGATTGTTAACTATTTAATGAGCAAATAAAATTAAGTTGAATCATTTATACAAACATGTTTTATTTCAAATTCATTACACTTACAATTGACCTAATTAGACATATTATTTCTCGATAATATAACGATAATGTTAAATTTTACAAAATTTATCCATACGCAGATATTTTGCAAGAATATTTTTAATATTCACTCGGATATGCTTTTAATGAATCCGGGACATTGTAGAAAGTAATTTAATTTCATAACCAACTTTTTATATAGTATCCTCTAATTAAATGATTTAATCGAAATTAAACAGCAAGAAATATTGATTACAGGCATAGTAAAAGTGTGATAAAATTTATCATTGTAAAATTCAAAGAATAATAATTAAAAAATAAATTATTTAAAATATGATTTGGTTTTATTTATTTGCATTATAATTTATTACTGTTGAAAGCATACGTTTGGCATATTTTTATAATTTGAAATTTAAATTAATTTGTCTAAACGCTAAACATAATAAAAATTTATGAAATTTATTTTATAGTATTTCTTCGTGAAAACTTTTATCATTAACGTTTAACATTTTTTTCCTCTCTTTTTTTTTCGTTTTTCTGTTTCATTTTCGTTTGTTGAAATCTCGTAATACAATAAGTATGAGTCCAATGAATGAATATGTCCCGTGCATTATATAATTTTAAAATAAGTCCTTGTCATCGTGAATTTTTTCTTCATTCTTGCCAATATGAACACCAGTTGCACTATTTTCACTTTCACTTCTATCAGTTTGTAATTCAAAAGTAGATAAAATGTCCGGTATTGGTGGAGCTTCCGACGTTGATCCATAAGTTTCATGGAGTACTTCTAGCCTTGAACTTAGGTCAGAACTTCGACGATTGGTCGCATTTACTCTCCTTACCAACCATTCTGCCTGTTCTTCCAAATTTCGCAGCCTAGCTGCACGCTCATCAAATACTTCCATAGATGGGCAATCATTTATTACTGCAATATCCATGGATTCATTTGTTTCGGTTTGCCCTTTTAATACAGTCATTACTTCCGGCGATAAAGTAGTATTTATCTCACATTGATCACCTGAAAATTCTTTTACTGTTTCGAAACTGGATGAAGAAGCAATTGATACATTATCCATTTCTAAAAATAATTCGGATGTCTTTGGAGGAACTTTATCATCCATTTGCATTGAAACGTTTGACTCGTTCGTATTTACTTCTACTGTGTTTTCTAATGGTACATTCGAATGACTTTCACGTACCTGACCACTGAATTCATTATTCGTGGATGTTACTATTTGATTAGGAATTGGACCAATCGTAAACACAGATGTTGGATAGGTTGTTACTATGTCTTTTTGTATAATATTTTCACTTGCTTCGTTTGAACTTTGAATACTAATTGAAAAAGTTACATTTTGATCATTTGAATTTTCGGTTGCTGGTATTTTTTTAACTTTTATTTCCTCTAAACTTGAATCAACTGTAACGTTTTCGCTGTCAGAACCGCTTATAGAAGAAGCTTCAATATAATTTGATTCATCTGTGTCTATAAGTTGCTGAATGACATTAGTGAGTGCTTTGTCAAGCGGATCATAGATTGTATTATCGGAGATTTGTGAAATCTGAAAAGTATATATATATATATTATATAAATAAATATAAACTTGTGTTAATGTATATAAGCTTATAAATATATTATTGGACAGAGAGAGAGAGAGAGAGAGAGAGAGAGAGAGAGAGAGACGAGAGAGAGACGAGAGAGACGAGAGAGACGAGAGAGACGAGAGAGACGAGAGAGACGAGAGAGACGAGAGAGACGAGAGAGACGAGAGAGACGAGAGAGACGAGAGAGACGAGAGAGACGAGAGAGACGAGAGAGACGAGAGAGACGAGAGAGACGAGAGAGACGAGAGAGACGAGAGAGACGAGAGAGACGAGAGAGACGAGAGAGACGAGAGAGACGAGAGAGACGAGAGAGACGAGAGAGACGAGAGAGACGAGAGAGACGAGAGAGACGAGAGAGACGAGAGAGACGAGAGAGACGAGAGAGACGAGAGAGACGAGAGAGACGAGAGAGACGAGAGAGACGAGAGAGACGAGAGAGACGAGAGAGACGAGAGAGACGAGAGAGACGAGAGAGACGAGAGAGACGAGAGAGACGAGAGAGACGAGAGAGACGAGAGAGACGAGAGAGACGAGAGAGACGAGAGAGACGAGAGAGACGAGAGAGACGAGAGAGACGAGAGAGACGAGAGAGACGAGAGAGACGAGAGATACTTACATCGGATACAATTGCATTAGGAAAAGTGTCTTCTTCGATGATTTCAGAATTCTCTAATTCAGTCTCCGTTTCTGGCGTGGGAGTTCTTTGACCCGATGTCGACGACGATACTGTTTTTGCCTCTGATAGTTCATTATCCGTTGGTTGCTCTGACTCTGTATCATTCACCATTGTTTTTGCACCGTCCTTGAAATTATTAATTATTATAATAATTATATTACATCTTTATATAAAATCTTTTTAATTTGAAATAGTGCATTATTTACTTTTCTTAGACGCCTTCGTGAATTAATTGGTCGAATTCTCTTTCCAATATTTTCATCATTTTCATCTTCGTCAGATTCTTCCTCCCTTTCATCACTAAATCCACTTTCTCCACTAAAATATATTATACATTTTAATTGAAGAGTATTTTAGTTATTATTATTATTGTTGCTGTTGTTTTTATTGTTATTATTAGTACATGATAATTATATTGACCTATTATTAAATGAATCGGCATGAATAACTAAAGCTTTCCTAGCTGCAAATTCTCGACGAAGACTTTTCCATTCCATTTCTGTATTTGTGTTTTTCTGCCTTGCTGATTCCCATTTCTCTCTGCAATATTCAAGTTCTTGTTTTAATTCTTGCAGCATTTTTCTTTTTTGTTGAAGCTCGTAACGTAAAATTTTCTCATGTGTATGAAGTTGTTGATGTTGAGCTTGCATTCGACCAACAATATTCCACGTTTTACTTAATTCATCAGAAACTGTAGAAAGACGCTTTTCCTAATTGAGTAATAGAAAATTTTATCATTAGAAAATAGAAATATAAAGAGTTATAGAATTATACACTTTTTTATAATAACTCTGATTATAATAACACTTTTATATATTAAAGTAGTTTTGTTATATTGAAGGAAAGCTTGTTAGATTATTATTTTAAATATTAAATAGAAATAATTCGTTGACGAAAGTTAAGTTTTAAAATGACCAATGTCTAATTTTTATTGAATTAAATTAGTTTTTACAAAATTTCCTTCGAGAATATTTTATCCCATCGAGATTATGTAATATTTGACGAAATAATTGTAAATATTAGGAGAAAAAATTATCAGGAGAAGGAATATAATGATTATACGAAATATTTGACATAAAGTATTTATAAATTATCGAATTAAGTGTATACGTAAATACCTGCTCGGATAATTTACTTTCAAGGTGCGTATTAAGTTGCTTCATTCGATTCATTTCTTTTTCAAGATGCTTTTTCTCGAGAATAAGCTCTTTAAGACGGATGTAAGTCTTACTAACTGATATAACTAGTCGTGGACCTGTTGGTGTATCAACAGACTTGTAACAACTGTCCGGAGCAGATTCCGTATTACTGTTGCATGATGCATCTGATCCAGGAGTTCTTACAGCATGACAGCTTAATAATTCCAATAATACACGCCATACCTATTAAAATTTTTTTATTATTTAGATTAATTTGTCGTTAGTACTATTATTTATTTTTCAATTCATGCAGTTAGCCAGTAAATGAATTCTATTTAAATTACTCGTCGAATGAATAAAAGTTTCTTTCCGACGTAAGCACACGTACTATCTATTTTATCAATGCCCACCTTAGGTAAATTGTGTGCTATAGTTTCTTGTTGCAAATCATCTTCTTCCGTTTTCGCTTCATTTTCACGCGCTCTTCCATCGACTTGTTGGATTATATCCAGCAATAATTTTGGAAGAGCTGCAGCCTCGGTACCATTTTCCTTTGCTATCTCGCTTATAAGATCGTGATTTTCCTAAGTAACAGATAATCGTTTAGCAGATAACCTTAGAAGAGCGACAATTTACAATTTAATATTACGGGAAATATTTAAGTACATTTAAGTTGTGACTTGCTGAAAAAAAGAAAGGCTTGACAGGCAGTTGACACGAATAAAAATAAGTAGAGAGCAGAAACGAACCTGCAATAGCCGAGTTAAGCGATCGAGATCCATTTCGGCTGACGAAGCACCAAGAAGCATCTGGGTGAAGAGGCTGTTAATGACCGACATCTGGTTCTGCAAATCTCGACAATCGGCTTTAGATAGGCCAAGCTGCGACTCCAGATTCAAGATTTCTGCATCTTGCGCATCCATCTGAAAACGATGTATTGTAGCTGTTTTCTACTTTGAGCCAAGATGCATTATATATATATATATATATATATATATATATATATATAAAAGATGAAAATGTATATATATAAAAAAGACGAAAATGTACTATTTTGCATAAATATTAAATTACAACATCTTAAAACTAGAAAAACTTTTGTCCACGAACATTGATGTGCACTATCATTATTATAATTCAGAATATTAAATTTATGAAAATATCAAATTACTTAAGAAATAACTGTACTGAAAATTACATATTGTACGATTACATAACAGTACATACTTTATCTTCGATTTTGTTCAATTCTTCTTCCAAGTTTTGATTATCTTTTTTGGAATTGTCAAGTTTGAGCTTTAGTTCGTGAATTTCCTTGAAACAGTGATCCTTAAGTTCAGCTAGAATCCTCGATCGCTCGTCACAAATATTGCGCGAGCGACCGATATCTTCTATTTGCCTTTCGGCCTCTATTCTGATGTCGTCGGGTTCATCGAGGAAACATCGATCTCCCATTCGTACCAAAATCTGTGCCAGTCTGTCCTTTAATAAGTTCACCTGCTGTTTACGAAAGCGCAACTTTGTCCGCGTATCCTCGGACAGTCGTTTAAGAGAAGCGATACGGAGTCGATGCTCGTCAGGATCGTTTTCTAATTGGAAGCGCAAATCATCAGTCCGTTCTAATTGGAGCCAAAGATTGTTTGTTACTTCGTCCGATATCTGTGGCAATATATTATTCTTATTTTTTATTTACATGTTATATTAGATTTGTATAATTAATTTCATTGATTTATATAGAATGATTAGAAATAAGAATGTAATAAGAGGATGCAGGATTTTATTAAACAAATTAAATAGATGATTATTAATTACTTCATTTATAGATGACTGTTTCCAATGACTTAACTTTACTTAATAATTGAACGGTTATACAATTACCGGCTGATACTACGAATAATAGTAAGGAGTATAGCAAATAATGTGACGAAAAAATAGATCTGATTATCCAAGACTATAAAACTCGATATAACATGTAAGTGGCAATATTTAAGATTTAAGATTTAAGATTTAAGATTACAGATAGCTAGCTACAAGCTAATTAGGCTTTACTTTTTACAATGAAAATGTCAGATGAAATAAGACAATTTTTTATTTTACCTTCAATACATCGAAAAGCCGTAAAGCTTCCACACGATCCGAGGTATTTTTATCAGTCTTCTGTTTCAAGTTGGCCTTATCATCAGTCTTTAATTCAGTGCTCGATTTTCCTTGAGCCTGTTTCAAATTTTCGAGTAGCTTCATTGTTTCTGAATGGGCGAGCCTTTCACGTTCGAGCTCACTTTTAAGACGATCCATTTCCGCAGAAATTGCGGCAATGGCGCGCTGTCTTGCCTCTCGTTTTAGCATCAATTCCTTCTTAAATTCCTCGTTATTCGTTGCTGCCGAAACGCTCGTACTGGGTTGTGAATTTTCCGACTCATTCGTTTGTAAAGCTTCGGCTGTGGTAAGTTCTGAAATATAAACGTATATTTTATTGATTAGTAGAGAACTACGATGAGAGCACACAGCCTCGAAGGTTAAAATTTAGTCATAAAGCATAAACATATGAAAGTTTTATGAAAGTCAATGGGTTTAGATATGTTTACAATCTTTACCTTGAATGGTCGATTCGAGTTCACGAATCCGTTGCGTGGCTTCATTGAGTTTCAACAATTGCTTTTTATTTTCTTCGTCCTGCTTCACCAGTCTCGCTTTCAAAATCAAAATTTTCTCCGCCTCCTCCTTTGTAATTTTTGCGTCACTGCACTTCTCACATTGGAATGTTTCCAGCTTGACGAGCAGTGTGGCACTCTCCAGCTCCGATCTCCTCAGCTTCCCTGACACCTGCTCCAAGCTCTTCTCTTTCTTCTCACACTCTTGTCGTGAATCCTGTTCATTTTTGTTTTTATTTTTGTGCTCCTAAATTTATTTTCTTTGTTCTCTTTAATAAATGAAAATATCTAGCTATTTTAAGAAAATGCTTTTATATTTATCGCATATGCAAATATGCCTTTATTTTAACTGTTTAGCGCTACATTCCATTTTATTCACTTACCTATATGATTGGAATTGATTTTTAACAATTAACTTGAGATTTTTTACAAAAGAAAAAGTATTGCGGTATTAAGAACAAATTATAATCTATACAACTACAATTGAACTGTTACTATGATTAAGATGAAATTTTGAGGATTACTTTTGAATATTTGACTGATTTTATATTCGTTAAATTATTATATATTACTACCAAAATAATTAAAGTTATATCAAATTTTATCATATTTACTTCGAAATCCTGTGTTAATTGTTCGATCAGTAGTCTTTGGTCCTTTAGATCATTTGTTAATATTTCGTTCTTTGCTTGCGATTCCATTCTTAGAATTTTCAACTCTTCAATTTCTTTTCTAAAATCAGTTTCAATATCTTGTAATTTTGTGCCTTTATTATTTATGTTAATATTAAGAAATTCATTAGTAGTTGAAAGTTTCTTTCTTCTTCTCAACCTTCTATTCATTGCTTTAATAATGGCACTTGACAATTTGCTTGTCGCAAGACGTGGTTTTTCTAAAAAGTGAAAAACATAGATAAATGTTTAACAAGATTTATAAATAAATTATTTATAACGTTCTCTTTTTCATTGTATTTTATTATTTTTACAAGTGATTGAAAATAACAAATGAATTGACAAAGTAATCGAAGACAGAAACTAAATTTTGTAATTCGCAATTAAGTGTTTATTTGAACGTTTTCATGAATTCAAATCAATTGTTAATCGATTGAAAGAAAAATTCTTTTTTAAAATCTTACTCCGCATTTAGAACTGACATTATTAATATGACGTACTAACCAGTGTACATTTTGGTGTGGTTCTCTTTATTTTTCGCTCCCGAACAAGAAGTTTTAGCATTTCTATGCTTTTCGCTAATTTCATAACCAACAAATTGCCTCTGTGATTTTCTGAATTCATTAAAACACCATTGGAGTTGATTCAGGGTACAACTGTGTGCAGCGGCAAGCTGTTGATTAGCTGATGCCAGATTCGATATCGTTTGCCATAATTCCATAGTGTCTTGGTGAGCATTAATTCTATTTGTGGTAACAGTGGAATGGGTGGGCTCTTCTACCCACCTACTTCCGTCCCTTTTGTACATCTCTAAACGGTCGCCGGTTTGATTTTTTCTCATCTGTATCTCATACTTCAATGTAAATGACTAACCCTTGTTTACATCTATTGATCCATAAACATAAGTGACCTATATTTTTTGTATTTTAAAATTATTATATATCACTTTAGAATTAATTATAATTTAAACTGATGTAAAATAATTGTGTATGTATGTCTATGATGTAAATTTATTATAATTCGTATAAATATATAATTAATATATTTATCAATATTTAATGGGAATTTTAATACCAATGAAAAATATTTATATTATGAAAATAATCTTACAAGATTAAATTAATTTACTTTATATAATAGTAATGTAATTAAATCTGTAATTAAGAAAATTATAAAACATGACTTGTAAAGCATATAAATCCAAAATTTCAATAAAAATCGATTATAACAGTTAATAGAATGCGCGTAAACACTCACTGTGGAAAGAAAGGTAAAAATTTATATAAAGTTTAATATCTTAGGAAATTATTGAAATGTAACATTGGTTAAAAATTGCATTCATTCACCTACTGCATTCATATATTTTCGATCCTCGCAGCTTTCAACTCATTCGTACACAAGACCACGACGTATAACGACATACTGATATATACTACTGAACGAACACGGCTCACAGTTTCGGTGACTCTTGCCAACTCAATTTACTTTGTGTGTGTTCATACTACACGTGAACATTTATCTTGAGACAATACTAAAAAATTTTTAATCTAAAGTGAAATCAAGTGAGCTTAAGCTTAAATATTTTTACCTTATGGACAAAGCAACTAAGCTTAAAACATAATTATACTTTTCATGTTATTACAAGTCGTCCACACTAATGGATAGCTATATATAAATAAATAAATTTTTAAGTTATGCCATTTATAAAAGTAGGGAAAATTTATGTTAACATATAATATTTATATATTCTTATTTGGCATAAGATACAAAATATTTGTATACAAAAAAATGAGTATACAAATTAAATAGTAAATATAACGTAAAATCTATGAATACACCTGTCCATGTATAATACTATTATATAAATTAATTATTTATGGAAATAATAATAATATTAATAATAATACTAATCGGAATATATATATATATTCAGAAATACCTCTATCAGCATATGCATAATCTATGTTTAAATCCTGATTCAGTATTAATTAGAAGATGATTATTATTTACAGTATATTTTCATTATCAATATATTATTTTCATTTAAAATCTTTTATTGATTATATATTTTTATATTAAAATTGATATATAAAAATTAGATTTTTTGACAAACAAATATTTAAGATACACATTAATTTTCACACGTCACATACAATATTACAAAATAATGTTATAATATTAAAAAGATAAAGCATATTTAGTAATTAAGTACTTTTCATTATTAAATTTTCCAAATTATATTACGAAAAAATTTACCAATATAGCAAATAATTCTTTACACATTTAATACTTGTTTATATAGCTTTAATCTCATTAAGTTAATTATTAAACTATTTTAAATAAATGAATTATGAAATAACATAATAAGATATTGGTTTATTAAATAATGATAATCATTATAAACTCTACTTAACTTCCATTTGTGTTTTACTATTTAGATACATTGATTTTTAATATAAATTATATCTTAAAAATGCTTATAATTTTTATTTCTATTTATGTATAAATACACTTGAATCCCACGCGATGCGTTTGTAGTCTTTTGTTTAAATATGCTATAGAATTGCAGTTTGATAACATAAATTGATTGCCTTCTTTAGAATATTCGGTATCCAAAGTGCGAGAATGTTGATTTCCTGATAATATGCTGTTTTTAATTTTATATAATTAATTTTTCTTGTTCTTCATAAATTATTGCAGACTGTAATAAGAATATATTTTATTGGAATGATTAATAATAAAGAAAAAATATTAATTATTAAATTTTTGCAATAGAATTATTGAGTTAAAATATTAACTCTTTTAAACGGAATAACTTATATTCTGAAAATAAAAATCAATAATCAAAGACAAAGTTTAAAAGTGATTATGAAAATAATATGAGAGAAATTATTGTATTTGTGGAATTAATCAATTGATTTTGTTTTTTTTTTACAAATAATTTATATTATATGAAATATCAGTTTAGAATATAGTTATATATAATTTTTTAATTAAAATTATATATCTTTATATTAATTTTAAAGATAATTTTAAATTTGTTGATTGAATAGCACTAAACTTTGAGTTAAAACTTATATTGCTTTGGTTACATTAATAAGTATTAATTATTAATCATTAATAATAAAATACATTGGCATTGTATTTAATACTGTATAAAAATCGTAATTGAGAAAGATTTCGATTTATATAATATATGAATTGAAGTGTATTTTATAACATTTTTATTTATTTATTTATAGCTTATAATGTATATAGAGTATATATATATACATAACGATAAAATATATAAAATTAGTGAATCTTTATTTTTTACATCTGTCTCACTTTCTTACTCTCTCTCTCTCTCTCTCTCTCTCTCTCTCTCTCTCTCTCTCTCCCTCTCATTTCTTCGCGTCAATTCAGTAAAAATATATATTTGATAAATCTAATAAAATAGAAAATGTTATTGAAGATCCATAAATTTATATTTCAAAATATTTCACAGAAATCATGTATACGATATATGAAGTAATTTTTATATATTTTTTTATTTAATAATTATCATTAAGTTATTCATTATATACAATACATAAAAAAATTAATTTGTTCTAAAACGACCGATAACAAATACTTTTAACTTAATATTAGATTTTTAATTTAATAAGAGTAATAAAAATATTTTTTAAGCATGTATATTATAAGCATGTATATTGCAAGAGAAAATTATTTTGATATAGATCAAATATATTTTTATTTTATTCTTATAAGCTTTGTCATCTCTTTTATAATGAGATAAAATTTTAAATTTTGAAAAAATAAATATTATAGATTATAAAATTATTTCTCTACTGTAATTGTTTTATTTTCGAATGTTGCAAAGAGTTTGTATAGCTTTATTTATAATTTTTTTCTACTTAAACTTTATTTATAATTAAAAAATAAAGAATAATATTTTTTTAAATATATAAGAGAATTAAGTGATCTATATTTATCATTAGAAAATAACTATGCCGACCTTCCAAAAGCAAGGTTAAGATTTCTGAAATGACCGTAAACTTATTTATACTTCAATAAAATTTACAGTTTTTTCTTGAATAATTTCAAATAAGAATTTAAATAAATATAATCATTTCTATATAAGAGCGTGACTTTATAATAAATTACCTAGGCTTTAATCTTTAATGTTTAATATCAACCAATTAAATTTATCTAATGTTAATCGAATGCTTTAAGAAAACAAAACTTTTATATTTATCATGGACAGTGTTATCGACGATACAGCTTTGATTATTTAAAATTATTTAAATATGAAATTATTTAACAAATTAATCACGAATAGTATATATTGATCATTATTGATCAGGAAATAATAAGTAATATACGTATTGCCGCAAAAAATCACGTTTACTCTTTACAGCTATGATACAACAAGGCAAAACATCAGAATAACACGTGGATAAAAAATTACGAATGAGTAACATCGAAATAAGATCATCGATATATCAGTACGGGTATGTAAATGTCGAGGTACATAAATGAAGCTTATAAGTATTGGTGGGCGTCCAGAAAATCGAAGTCTGTACAACGAACACAAAGTATCTCGCGCTCCCGCCGCTCTTTAAAAATAGCTCAAGCGGTCGAGCAGTGGAAGCTTGCAAGCTCTCTTGGCTCATCGAAACAAAGAGCGAATAGGGAAAGTCGATCGACGACCTCAAAGACCTTACCCCTACTACCGTTGGCCACTGTCCTCTTCATTCCCTCTGCTGAATGTTCGCGCCACCACGTGCTTGCGGACCACCTCGTACGGCGCCCGTACCTTCGTCCTCCGAGGAGTTCGCTCGTCTGCTCGACGACCACTTGAAAGTGAATAGGCTAAAGCTACACAGAGAGAAGCTTTGCGGACGCAAGATGCTCGCGCTACCGTAGTCAAGCAGCAAACTGATTAGCCCTTGGCCGAGGGCCAAAGACGCCGCGCGTTTTCCGTTCGTCGTCGCCTCGTGTCGCCACGTTACCGTTTGCCACGCCAGACACTAAAAATAAAGTTTCTCGCTCATTCGTTTCTCATTCTCCATTTCACGTATTATACCCGACCTTATCGGACTTGGACTTCCCCCCACCCTGGTTTTTCATAACCATCATACCTTTCACCTACCGTCTATATTCACTTATTTTCGCTATCTCCACGAACCCCTAGTTTTAACTCATTTGCCATCCTCTTATTGTTCTCGCCTTCCTTAAAAATATCACCAATATATTACAGTTTATCATTATATGATTATTGCATTATACTAGTATATGATGAATCCAGTATATTTTTAAATAATAATATAAAAATTAATTTCTTATAAATTAAAAAAGAAAAATTATATATATATATATATATATATATATAATTAGTCACTCATTTTTCGAATAATAATAATTGTAAATATTAAGAAACTTTATAAATTTTAAACTTGTATTTATATAATGAAAGATACGTAAAATTTGGAGATTCTTAATGGCATTAATTATGAAAATAAAACCGATTATTTAGTGTGTGCATATGTATGTTTGGACATGCAAATAATCATGTGAATAATTTCTTTTGAAAATTGTAGTATCTATGTATATATTTGAATTGATGATAGATACAATTTGGAAATCGATACGAAGTTAAAGAAAATACATGCACTTAAAGTATGGAGCTTTTCAAACAAAGCTGTTTCAAAAGTATTTTTAGTAATATTTCTTCGAACGATTCGGATACCAAAGTAGGAGCTGAGAATCAATTTCATTGGTCGGGATACATACTATGCTGAATTATAAATTCGTTTATTGTTATTAAATATATGGATATGTTAATGTTATAATTCTTATATACAATTTATAATTTAGACGTTTTAATTAATCATCATTAAATAATTATTCAATTATTATCTTTAATTTTTTTCAAATAAATATAATTAAGAAAAAAAATTTCCTTTTCTACTATTGTTAGCATTATTCGATAAGATAAATAAATAAATTAGTTATTAGAATCAATTGAATTTTTAAGTGATTTTTACAAATAAATAAAAAAAATAATACACTTTCATTGACGAAATATGTTTTTGAAAACACATGTTTATAAAAATGTTATTATAATAATTCTACGATGTTGTTTGTTGGTATTCAATTTTAAATAGTTTGACTTTCAATTAAAAATGACATCATTAAGATATATTCTATTAATTCATACATTTTCAAAGTTTACGTTCAAGAAAATCATTTATTTTCAATGTATGAATCAACATATGAATATGCTTGATTTTTAATTAACATCATTTGTTCCTTTTTAATTAAATATACATTAGGATTAATTTAACTGATTTAGCATTATTATTTTTATAATGATATAATGAATTAGTATATTATGAGTTGTCGAATAAAAATTGATTTTTAACATTTTTTTTAAAACTGTATCTAATATAAATACATATAAATAATTTATTATAAATATTACTTCATTCGAAAATTAGATGAAATGAATAACTTTATGCCCAGTACTTATACATTTTTATTAATAAAAGTAATATAATGTTTCGTTTATTTTCTTGCTTGTATAAAGCACTTTTAAATTAATTTTCTGTAAACATTAATCATAACTGTCAATTTAACGCATAGAATATTTTCTAAATAATTTTAATTTTTTTAATATTCTTATCAAATTTTAAATATATAATTTTATAATATTTCACCTCTTTATAATAATAATTAACTTCGGATAACTGAATAAGAACAACGTACTTTCCTATTCCATAATACTTTTATTAATTTTAATCTTGTCATACAGTGCTATTATAATAATTAAATGAAGCGAACATTATAACAGCAACAATTGCATACTCAATCATTATTAAAAATTAACTATTATTATTAAAATATGAATAATCAAGAATTATAACAATTTCAACGCTTTGCATGACAATTAATCGTAAAAATAAAATGATCTAAGTACTCTTACGTATAGAGAAAAGCAGCCCAAACTTTACTTTATCTTAGCTGAAACTAAAATAGTGAAAAAGAAATTCTTCTAGTATCGAATGCCAAAGAGATTTGTGATAATATTTCGATTATATGTGGGCGTCCAAAATTATCGATTCAAGCTTGAAGGATTGACGCTTTATCTAGTGGGCTATTCATAAAATGTCAAGCGATTGCATCGACTTCGAGACCTAGATCTAGGAATAGTCCTCACACTTCTTCGTTTTACTATTAGCATCGCTTTTCAACATGGCGCGATCTCGTCGTCGCTGTCGTCGGAGCTACCACTGCCAACCTCATCATCAAATTACATTTTAATCCGCTTAATATAGGATTATCATTTATTATCACGTTAGCTTAATACATTATGTATTATGTGCAGCTAGTTGTTGCGTGTAATTTAAAAGAATATCCGTTATATTTTAGTCTCCGTGGACACAAATATAAGCTTATCTAAGAGTCACGTTCGTGTATTGTGTATAATTCTCATTGTATTTTCTGTATTATGAAGATAAAATTATTTGAATTTATTTCAAATATTCACAATTAAATTGTAAAGGTAAATCTTATAATTATTTCATATCATGAGCGATTAGAGGATTCAACTATATTTTCACTAATATTATTTTCATTATTCTATCTCATATTCCGATGTAAGAATATATTTTCATAAAAGTTAATTTTCTTTAATAATAAGATCATACGATGATGTCCATTTTCTTTAAAAAGTAAATGATTATAGGAAATTTGTTAATCAATTTTCTTGCTACATAATTAATATTGAGATCGGATTTTTTAATTTTATTTATTTTTATTATAATGTAGTTGATAAATGTATTTGTCTACTTTTTCTGAATATCATTAATAATCATCACGTGTATTACAGTTAAAATTAGTTATTGTTATTTGATTATTCATATTATCAATGTATGGCTGATAATAATGTTAAACAATATTATGAATATTAATCAAACATACATTTTATTAATATTTATTTATTATTTTTCAAACAATTGGAAAAGTCTTATTTAAAAACTAATAAAACATATTATACTCATTTGAATGTATAAGTTTAAGAGTAATTGCTTTTTTATAATACTAAATTGAAATATAATAATAAAGTAATAATAATCGTTCGATCTCTTATAGATAAAACAACTTATTTATAAAAGAACTTTACTTAATAACCTTTCTTGCATTATTGAACCTACGAAATTTGATCCTAATAAAAGTTGAGCATTAATGATATAATATGTTAATGACCTCGGTGAGAAATTAATTATTTAATTTCAAATTCACGATTTAAGTAATGGAACTTTATCCGTACATACTTGATTAACAAAATTCTTTTAATATGACAATGATAATTTATAAATAAAAAGAACTTGTAAAATAAATGTAAAATAATTATAAAAAAAATGATATTATTGATGCGTGTATTAATAATATGTAGATAAAAAATTTAATAATAAATCTTTAAATTCATATTATACTACATTGACTGTATATAATTATCTTGCATTTATAATTTATATTTTTAAAAAGTTAAAATATAAAAAATTTTAAGAGACAAGAAAATAATGTACCAAGTATATTTCAAAATATAATATTTTTGTTTGTTATTTCCTAATAATACATATTATCTACGACTTTTAATAATGTCACTGAAATTTTTTTCAAAAGGATAATGAAATATTCATGTTTATTATATCCAATAGAATTAAATAGTAATACATTCATTGGCAAACATTCCAATGTATATAATGTTTAATGAATTGTTCACACAGAGAGTATAATGAATCGTTAATTAAAAGAATAATTTATCAATCTAAGTGTATATAAAAAACAAAGGACTATTTTACATTCGAAAAAGAGTGGTTAATGATAATGTGAAGGCTACGTTATAGTTTAAAATTACTGTATTTGCATAAATTTCAAATCATCCATATAATGATGAATTTATTGTATTTAAAGATTTAATGAAAAGACTGTAATGATGAACGATTTCAGCAGATGTCAGCAGTGGTTGACGTGACATTTGGACTTATTATCAACTGAGTCAATGCTGTATAAAAAATTTCAAATTCTCTCGATGTTTAAGAAAAGAATTTGAGAAATATCAAGAAGTATAACGAATTATCTTGAGAGTCGATCGTATAAATGCTTTGGCTTAATTTATAATTACGTTTCACAGAACGTTACAATCGTTCTCTTTGCTCCGTATGCGATCGAGCGTTGATCTTACGAGTTAAAGAGACATGGTGGGAGGAAGAGAGACAGAGATAGAGCGAGGAAGAAAGAGAGAAAGAGAGAGAGAGAGAGAGAGAGAGCGAGAGAGTGCGATCGAGTGAGTAGGTGGTGAGAGAGGAAATAAGAGTGGCAATGAGGAGGAGAGATTGAAGCTGTTGGGCACGTAAGGTGCCTGACTTATCGGGAGAGTCGTTGGTTATGGAGAAGTTACTCGCAGTTACTCGTTACCGTCCGCTCCCACCGATATCCCGTAGACGTCGCTTGCCGCAAACATCTCTAACACCGCGCGGAAGGGGAGGAGAGAGCGAGCGAGAGATCGGGTCTTGGACTACAAGCAGCGGCCCCTCGTAGTAGAGAAAGTCCGTGGGCGCAGTCGCGCTCCCTCGCGGCCTGGCGCACTCCAGTCTTTCGACGTCTAGATCCGAGGTGCGCGGCGCGACCAGTGTTTCGTCAGTGCCAGCATTGGCCTGTGCCTCGTTTCGATTTTGACGTCAACGCGGCTGTTGTTCACGGCGAGCGCCGAGAGCCGCGGGAGCGCAGCTGGTGCACAACGCCGCCCAGGGAGCTCGCAACTCGCGCCCCGATAACCCTAAGCTACCGCTGGACGGGAGCGCGAGGTGCGTGTTAATGTTGCTCGCCCGCGAGGAGCCATACCCACGTCATCGTCACGAATGAGCCGCGCGACCAGGAAGGGGCAGTCGAGCTCGTGCGCCAAGTGCGAAAGAGACAAGGAGGCCAGGTGACGACTTCTTGCCCGTTAACTCAAGCACACAGCCGTAACCGCCCCCCCCCTCCATCACCCCTCACCTTCTACCGCCCGTCCCACCTTTCCACTCCCACCCATCTCTATCTGTCTGTTTATCCAACTATCCATCCAGCTATCCATCCATCCGTCCATCTATCCGTTCATCCATCCGTCCATCCGTCTTTTTTTTCCTCATCTCTATTTCATTATTTGCGTGCATGCCTAAATGCGCTGCGTACATACGTGGGTGCGTGCATTCGTTCATGCATGGTCCAAAAAGAGAAGAAAAAAGAGTAGGAGTACCAAAAATTGGGCACCATGAAGGTCCAATGCATTTTCGTCTCTCTCTCTCTCTCTCTCTCTCTCTCTCTCTATCTCTCTCTATCTCTCTCTCTTTCTCTCTTTCTCACTCACTCACTCACTCACTCACTCACTCACTCACTCACTCTCTCACTCTCTCACTCACTCACTCACTCTCATTCGCTCTTTTTTTCACACATACGCGCGCGCCCATTCCCGTGATTTCAACATCTTTTCAACTCTCGCGGAAACCTCTGTAAGCTCAGGTAATTGTCAATCAAGTTAAACTGGTAGTCAATTTTTTAATTATTTTTCCTCGTGTCCATGGACACTTGGCGTATGATTCGCAATTCCGGGACACAGACGTTCAATACTTTGGGATTTTCCTTCTTTTCTTACCACTGTCACTCAATGTCAACAGTATTATCATCCTAAATGCACTGGAGGAATCATTGTCTGCAATATTTTGCCAGTAAATTGTTTTAAAAAATTCATCGCCATTAAATAAAATTTTTCTTTATGTACTTGCTAGTTATTCCTATCGTAAACCTTACTTCAGAGCTATTGAAAATTACATATTTTTCTGCGTCAAAAGTATTAGCTTCTTTTTACTTGTCATATTGAGAAATACAAACAAATAAAGCCTGGAATAAAAAAGATACTTAACGCTACGTTATGAAAGAACAGTTTTAAAAGAAATACTTTTCAAATTAGTGTGCTTTTAATTCAACATAATCATAACAAAGCCGACTTTAAACAGAGCGTTTTATCGACAATATTCATTCGACTGACGCGAAACCTTTCACCTAAATAATAAACTAATTATTATTTTGTTCGTCGTTCGGCCTATCGATAAACGAAGCGTCGTATTTTTTTTCATTGGACAATGATTTATTTATAAAAAATGAATCAATATAGAACAATGAAGCCATTTTTCAAACGGATGGCGCGTCATACAGGTTTTAATGAGAAGTAAAGCAGATACAAATACACAAGTTGTTAGTTTTTGACACAAATAAAACAGTCTCGACAGTCTCGACAGTCGCTCAGGCCCAGCTCTTCGGCACATTATCTTAACCTGTTTTGTTTTCGCATCGAGCGCTCATTGCATCTGTCGTTCAATGGAATCCTAAGGTGCGCGCAATGCTCCGAAACAACCGATTGTCTATATGTTGCGGATGTGCATGCGAATGCGTGCGTGGGTGTGTGCGGCTGCGAGCCGTGGGGTGTGCGCGCGCTCACACGTGCCCCCCCCCCTCCCTCGTATAACCCCATCCTCCCTCGTATCCCTCCTACCTCCCTCCATCGCAGCCCCTCATCGCCCCGCGCCACCCCTTCCCGGCTGCTCGACCAACCAATCGCTCACACGGGCACACATGTTCACACAAAAGCTTATGTTTTTACTTGTGTTGTAGATCTAGGCTTTCTTCACAACAGCGCGATCGTGCAACTAATAATGGACACTTGCATGCGTTTAAATAATGTATTGTTCATAATAATGCTTCATCGATTCATTAATATAAATGTCCATGCGTTCAAGCTACTTGGTCCGTCTGATTGGAAATTCAATTAATGCATGCGTCCATAAAAATTGTAAATACGGCAATGCATATTACAATTGATATTAAAAATAATGCCGCGAAAACTCGATTGATATTATTGAATTAATCAGAAATAATAATTTTTGAAGGTAAATGGAAGCGATTACACGTGCAATATGAAGTAGAAATTGTGGAGAGCGCGATGTGTTAGGAAGAAAATACGTTATGAAACATAGTATCCCTGAAAATATTTATAAAATTTGCAAGGAAATTCTCTTTTCATCCAGCTTCAAACTAAAGCGAAAGCGCCTTTAATGGATATAAAAGAGTGGTGATAAAGGGGCATGAGAGAGGAAGGAAAAAGCCGCACACATAGTGTCATGCTCAGAAAAAGATTTAGCCAAATCTGTAGGAAGCAGTAAATGTCAGCTCTCACGAGTATTTCCGTACAATTGCCGTTTCTCTCACATTATTATCTTGTAATACTATGTACAGCTAAGTTATAACGTTCTATACCCCTCTATTTCTTTCTCGTACACGAACGTGCTCAAACGCACTAAGAGACAGAGAGCGTGATAGAAAGAGAGAGAGAGAGAGAGAGAGAGAGAGAGAGAGAGAGAGAGAGAGAGAGAGAGAAACTCTCTTCCGACATGTCCTCTATTAACCAACTGTGATAAGACGAATTGTCTACTTTGGGTCGAAACATCTATTTTAATAGTTTCTTGATCCGATAAAATTTCTGGACGACTTTACATGTACTGTTAAGGATCTTTGATATTAAATTTTCATCAATTTATTAGCAAACATTTCACTTCGATCTTCTCGTAACGATCTATTAACAGAAATTAAAATCCCTATAAAAATTTCTAATAAAAATTGCATTCATATAAATCAAGTAAAATACCTTCGTAAAATAATTTAATAAGATATTAAAATAGTTTAATAATTATTTTTTCAGAAGAAAAAGAAAAAATGTCAATAAAATGTCGATTAAATCCCGAGCGAAATTGAAAAAAAAATAGTATTCGATAAAGGGGAAGGTTCGATGATGTTTTTCCATTTTTCTACTCGATTTCATACAGTGGTGATCGATTTTGTACGAGAGATACAAAAATCAGTTGGGCGAAGTTAAAGGATGGGCGAGTGCACACAAAATAAACTATAATAGGAAAGAGATTGAGACAAAATAAAATATCCTCGTGATCTAACATTCATCTAATTATGTACGTCCATGTAGTCTAGTCGAAGCACATAAATGATTAAGTTGATATTTTTCTATCCTTTTTCAATAACTTATTTTCACGAGACCATTTATTAACGGGAATCTACAATTTCCCGATATCTTTATTTCTTATTATATTATATTTGAAAAGTATTTATGAATATCTGGAAAATTAAAATACAATCTTAAATAAATAATTTACAATTAATAATTGTGAATATAATGAAAAATGAATGTTCTAAATAACAAACTTTATTTACTTATAAAGATATTTTGTGAATCATCATCTTGATGACTTTTTATGTAAAGTGTATTAAATGGGGTACTGATGTTAAGTGATAGTAAAAATGAATTCTTTATGTTTTGTTGAAATATTTATTGTACACGTCGTGATAATACTTTTATAAAATAAAACATGCTGATTATGATAAAATGGCCTTTATGTATTTTTCTGTGTATTTATCAATTCTTTTGTTTTCAATGGAAGTCATTTTATTTTATTTTACATGGATAAACATTTAAGTTTCAAAATTATTATTTTAACATATTATACAAATGCAAAAATCTTATTTCCAATAATTATAATATTTTGAAACATATTAATTAGATTATATGTTTATATTTTGCTTATAAATTAAAGTAAATAATTCAAATTCTCATTGGTCTGCAAAAATGCAGTTATTTTAAATAAACTGTATTAACATCAAATAAATAAAAAAGTATATAAATAAAATTTTATGTAAACTATTTATTAATTTGCAATATCTATGTTTTGTATTATCTATTTATGTTTTCACATTTATGTAAACGATATTTCGTATATCACATTTTAATTACTTCTAATAAGTGATGGCAATAAAGCCAAATTGAGAATACTGTATTTTAAAATGTATATCTGAAAACATGATAATAGTCACTGATTTCTAGCAATTTTTCGAATAATTTCGAGCAATTTCGAGTAATTTTTCTGAATAATTTTTTATTTAAAATCTGAGAAACAAATATCTGAAAAAAGTTAAATTCCAGCATATGATTAATTTATGTTAAAATTCATTTGTACATATGATTGTAAAAGATGCATTTTATGTCAAAAAATATACGTACTTTAATTTTTCGTCCATTTAGACCTGTTCTGACAAAATAAGCATTCCTTTAAAAAAGCTTATATATTTTTCTTGCTATATTTTTAATGATATATACTTCTTTTAACGTTAAACCCTGATATCTTAATCTTATCAGAATTCTAAAGCAGAATTATCTCTTTGTGTCATGAAAACTTCGTTTTACAAATATAATAAACTGCATAGCTTTAATCGACAAGAACGTTATATGACTGCAATTAATGTATTCTCAGAAAGTTTTCTGTAATAATAATATTATAACATTGAGCATAAGAATATAAAAATATCTATCATATGTATATTATCTATTGAATTTTTTAATTTTTTTATGTAAATTGTAGCTTGACCTATTTCAAATTAATTTTATACTTCCGTAATAATAAAAAAAATGTAATAAATAGTATGTTTAACATTGGTTAAATTCTATTTTTAGATACATTGCAAATATAACACAGCATTCAACATTTTATAAAACAAAATAAAACTTATGAGATGTTGTAGAATAAATTTGTTATTATAAATTAAATTTTAATATTTCGTGAAAGATTTCATCTAGGCTACTTCAATATTTCAATTTTAATAGGTTATCTTAGATAAAATATTTCCTTCAAGTTCTTATTAAATTTACATTGAATAACTATCTGTTTTGGTAATATTTTGTTTAAAGGAATTTTAATTATATATTTCCGGATACAATTATTTTTACATCATTTAATGCAGATTATGTATGTTTTGCAAAAGCATTAATTTATTTCAATGACTTATGGATTTTTTCTTAAATTGCAACATAAGTTTGGCTAAAAACATTAA